CGTTGGTTTATTTTGTGTATTTGTTGTTCGTTTTTTGTTTTTAATTCCCTCTGTGCCTGTTTTTTTTTTCCATACGCTTGATCTTTGCCAAGCCGGTGTACCGTTGCATCAACACTCAAATTGTTGCTTGCTTGACCACAGTATCAGGCAACATCCTGATCAAGGTTGAAAGTTTGCTTCGTTGCTTTTGTGCCGTGACAATGGCCCTTGCTCCCTCTACTAAGATGAAAGCCATCACTCCACCCTATGATCACGCAAAGCGAATGGAACTTCTCGAGCGGTTGGTAGCCTTTTGGATCTTGCTTGGCCATCAGGTTGTAGACAGCAGGTCCAAGTTCCAAGGCATCGCTCATGAGCATTGCACCACCGCCTGTCAGACTGTTAAGGGTTGGTGAGAATCCCAACTTTTCACAAAGCCTTTTGAAACTCGTCGGAGATACCATGTGTTCTCTCTTCCTCTCTGCGGGCCCACATGCTGCACCGTTCGCCACCACAGGTCTGATGGCGTGTCTCACTACCCAATCTGTGTTTGACCACGAGTCGCATCTCTTGCCCCTTCTCATTGCTGCTCGTGCGTTGAAACATTCAGCCTTGCGTACCATGATGCTGCAGCTCAGCGTGCAGCTACCCTCGGTCCCAGACCTTTGTCAATGGCTGCACAATGTACAAGACGTAATGCGTGCATGCGGTGCATCCCTGCCCGTGGCTTTTGCGACCGTCCTACTGAAGCCCAAGTCCCCTTTTTCCCGGTAGGCTCTGATGACCACCTGACACCAGGTCTTTTGCTTATCTTTTGCTCACTTTGCTGGTTGTTGCTTCTGTTCAAGTTTGCGTTTTCATGGTCATACGCAGGTGGTTGAGCTAACCATGGAGATTTACACCAGTTTGCTGACGCACGGGTCCGTTCTGCATCACACGCGACAATTCTGCAGTCTCAACGTGTTAGCTGAAACAATATCACCCATGTTCTTTCCATACGATGCAGCTCCTCCGCCGTGCTTCACGAAGCATATCAGCTGATTGCAAGCGATTTACGACAACAGTCAGAAGCGCTTGTTGACGCCAGCACACAGTACGTCACCTTTTTTGAGAGCTCTTGTGCGGCGTTTTCTCCCTCGCCGTCTCGGTGACAAGGGATTTTTGGCTTTTGGCATCCTATGATAGCACACATGTGTTTCCGGCGTCTAATAATGGCTATGCTTGAATTGCGTTAGAACGGGTGTGGATGACAATTCCTCGGAGCTCACAAGCAATGGTCAGCCCATTCAATCCGCGACAAAGTCGCCAAGCTTCCCATGCGTGCTGCTGCACCCTCGCGCAGCACTCATCCAAACATACCGTCTCAAATTGTGGCTAGACAACATGGGTAGCTGTCGCACCTTGACGGCCCGAGAAGCCGTCACCGCGTTCGTGTTTGATTTGCTAGCCCTTCGGCCCTTGGCTGCACAGAGCAACAATGCAAGTCAGCTAGATTTGCGCGCCCTTGAACCAAGCCTGCCACACCTGTTGGTACACGATAGTTTCAGCGGCAACCCTCAAGCAAGTGGCCTTTGTTTTCCTTCGGCTCTTCTCCAACTTTTTGTTCTTTGAGTCATAATAACCTCGCACTTTGCAACCTCGGCAGTTTGCCCAAATGGCTCTCAGCTTTCCCGAGGCCTTGTATGCTTTGCTTCAAGTGCTGTACACCTACTGCAAGGTTTGGGATGATCTGAAAGACGATTTGCTGGAGGCTATAGCCACAAACAAGCCTTCGATTGCTCAATTTGCATCGTCTTTACTCTGTTTAGAGTCACGCGCACTTCATTCAAGCGGCAGCTCTCCCTGAGGCACAGGCAGAACTGGACATGATTTACGGGGTTGTGATTTTTTGCATCAGAGAGACGGCTCTACCGAATGACCACATGCTCTTTTGCCTTGCTTGGATCACGCAAGCGGCTGTCTTTGCTGGGCAGGTGTGTTGCGGATATGTAACCTGGCCTGAGGGTCAACAAGCATTTTCACGAAACAAGTTTTTTTTTTTTCTCCACCGCACCGCCCGTAGGCCGTTGACCCGAGAGAGACAGCCGAAGCTTTGTCCGGCCCCATGCGGCTCAGAGGCCTTGTTGGAGGAATTCACCGACTTGCCGGCCGGCCAGAGCGGTGCGTGCGCTGCGTCATTGTTCATGAGATGTCAGCGTTTGGCGCCTTCCTCATGAATAGATATGCTGTGCGGACGTTAGCTCGGTGCGCCTCGCAGCTACCGTGGCTGCACATGCTTTGGTAACGAATGGCCTGGCTGCCGGGCCCCTCGCAAAACGGTAGGCTATTGCCGAATTCATTGCCATTGAATAGTTGGGTTGCCATGCCCGCGTTGCCTCCGCCAGGGCGACCTGTTTACATTGTCAGGACACTTACACGCAGCCTTTTTAATTTTGATTAGCGCGGCTCTGTTGGCATTGGAGCGTATTAATGATGTTGACGATGAGGTTTGTGCCTTCCTTGCTGCTCCCAAACTTGATGTTTTACACACTGTTTCGTTTCATTCACGGCACGCCTTTTTGCAGGTAGCGGCGGCCGCTGCCGAGTTGATGATCGTCTTACCCTTTGGCAGTGTCGACTTGAACACTGCTCAAGCGCTCCTTCATCGCCAGGTATCTTACCGGCCCTCAAACTACATTTCGCCCCGAGCGTGCCGTACAGCTTTTCTCAACACCTGCACCGTCCCCGCAACCTCTGTCAGACGCGATTGGCACTGGGCATCATGCGAAAGGCGGGCGATATTTCCTTCGGACCCAACACCTACAAACGAGTCTTGCGTGCCCTCCTTCGCCCGGCCGTCGATGACGCAGACAGCACGCTAAGCGAGGCCACGTCGTTGCGGGACATGGTGCTTGGCTCCCACCTTGTACACGCTCTCTCGCGGAATTGGGTTGATGAAGCAGGCTTGGATCTCAAGCTTGCACGACCTGACCTGCTCAACACCTTGTTGTTGCCCATTGCTCACTCGTTCATCCGGCACCGGCTGACCACGCCGCTGGGCCCGTACGTATAGCCACACATTGCTTGTTTGTGGAAGTCGTAGCTTGTGGTGGATGTTTTTCAGCCCAGTATCTTGATCAACCTTGTCTCAAGGCTGCTGCTGACTCGTCGTTTTCTGCACTGCCGCGGTTTGACACAGGCCAGAACAGACGCTCAAGGCTGTCAATGATGTCATTCGCAACCTGGCACAGTCTCTGCAACCCAACGCGCGCCAGACCTTACTGGCCAAGGACGCGTCCCCCCCCAATGTCAGGCGCTCTCATTTTTTTTTTCCCCCTTTGCTTTTCATTGTGTTATTCCCTGTGGGGGGCGGTTCTGCTTTCCGGTTGAATCGTCCTTATTCGCGCCTCGCGCTCTGACCTTTGCAGGTGATTGTGCTTCGTCAGCAAGTTGCCGCTTTCGTGCAGTTTCTCGGTGCCATGGAACGTGAGGTGCGCCCAATGCTCCCTCTCGACTTTTTAGTGGCTGCCAAAGCTCTTTGTTATAACCAGAATTCGCCATGTTGACTTTAATATAGCTTTTGGCCGCAATTCACGGCACTGCCATGCGTCCTTCTCTGCCAACAAGTGCTTCTGCCTTCTTTTTGGGCAATCGCGAGGTATCACGCGTTGAGCGCAGGCGTGCTTTGTGTTCTGAATGCAACCCGCTGTTCTTTACTCGCATAAACCTGGGTTGTTCTCAATAGATTTGTCATCAATGGCTGCGCAATTTACACGCCTCTTCACTGGTGGTCACGACGGCTTTTGGTGCACATGCCGATGCCATTCGCCACGGCTATGCGCGCCTGAAGGACCTGGTTCGGCTTCTCAAGGTGGGTTTCTTCCTCGTTGCATCGCCAGACTTGAGCATTCTCTACATTCTTTCCCGACCTTTTTTGTTTTGACACATCTCGGTGACCTGGCCAACTTTGCAGCAAGCCAAACCTGAAGACATGATGAACGCTGCCATCCAAGTCCTGTACACTTTTTGCACACTGGTACCTGTGCTGGTGCACGAAAGGCGAGCTGATGACCTCATCGGCCTCCAGACTTTCCTTCGTCGCCATCTCCCACAGGTATGCCGCCAATCAATGCTTTGAGCTGCATGGCACTTGGTGACCGTGACTGGATGTGGCCGTTGTTTTATTTCTTCTGCACAGTATTATTTGACCGAGCATCAACTTGCACTAACGTGTTTCTTGTTTTGTCTCTTGCTTGGTCGCTGTGTGTAGGCTATGCTTCAAAGCGGGGCCACGCGTGCGGATGGCCATTGCATTTGGTTTTCCTTTGTGGATGTCGTTCATGCGCTGGCCAGTACCAACTACGAGCGAGCCCGTGGCAAGGCCGACGAGCACCGTGCCCATTTTGTAGCTGCTTGCACATCGCCCGACCCAACCTCATCAACGGAAGCGCAACCTTTGTTCCCACAGCCTCACCGGGCAGAAGCTGACTTTGTATTGCAAGCCAGCATCAAGGCAGCCGTTGCCCTTGCAGACTGGCAGGCACTTGAAGCTTGCAACCGTGACCTTGCAGCCCTGTCCGCGCAACATCAAGACCGTGATGTGCTTATCCATGCTGCCCAAGCTGCCCAACGTGAAGCAGTCAGCTCCAAGGCCTGGCAATTTTTCGATGAGGCTGACTATCATTCGACCATTGAGGTCTTGCACGGTGCCGCTTTCAACGGGGGTTCTACCACTAGCACAGGAGTTTCCGGACATGGTGCCAATACTTGGACCTGGCATGCATGTTTGCGAGAAGCGGATGAGGCGATGTTGTTGGCAATGGCTCAGCATGCATCAGGCGCGTCGCCAGCATCTACGACTGCAGCGTTCAACCGCTTGACCACATCCCAGGAACGCTTGAGTGGCATGTTGTGTGGAGCCACTGGGACCTCAGGATATGCCAACATTCAACTCACCACGCGCCTGAGCTGCATTGGCGCCCTAGTCTACGCTTTGGCCCCATCCGCACAGCTCAAAGTTGAAGACTCGGTCACTGGCCCGTCTCGCAGCAGCGTACATCGCAGTGAAGCTGGGTTTCCGTTGTCTCTTTTGGAGACTGCTGCGGAGACCAACGACGTGACTTTGGCCGACCTCATTGCCATGCAGCGAATCGTGGGCTTCCTCAAGCAGCACACAAATCTTATTGGCGAGGGTCCCTCGTCGATGTTCCGATTGCGAGTGGCGCGCATGGCGCGTCGAACAGGCAACTTGCAGACCGCTGCCCGATTCCTGGTGGACTCATCAACCTCGGTTGGCGGTCCTGCCGCAGAATTGTACGAGCATGCGAAACAAGCCCTTGCTCGGGGACAGACCGATGAAGGTGCCCAAGGTCTCCTTCGTGTCGTTGCCTCTGCTGCAACGCAGGAGAATTTGGACATCACTTTCCGTGCTGGACGCGGTCCTCTGCCTTCACGTGCGCTACTCAAACTCTGCAAGCACATTCGCCAAACCCCAGAGCTGCGCCTGCCCGAAGACTGTGCAGAGCAGGTGTTGCAATTGTGCCGAGCTGCCGAAAGTCAGCCCAGTTTTCCACTGGCCCATGATGACAATCAGCTTCTTGATGGTACGTTCTTGGCATGTCACACCGATTTGCATGATAGTACCTTGATCGTGTGTGTGTGATTGCTACTCTCTTTGCCTTTTTGAGGCGGTCTTGTCCAGTACTTGGCTGGTTGATCTGACTTACACGTGAGCCTTGTGACTGGGCCAATAGATGTTCACGAAGGGCGCGGCAAGCCGAGCTCGGTTTTCATCGGACGAAGCTTGCATTTGGCCAGCATTCTGCACCCGGAATATGCAAAGGCTCAGCTGCAATTCGCCAGTTGGTGTTACAGCGAGGCAAAGCGGTTCGTTGAGAAGCAGGCCCCCGGCACCGTGATCCTTTTGACCCAGCACGAGCGTCAGCAAGCTGAGGCGCTGATTCAAGATTATGAGAATACCATGCTATCCCTTTACAATGCGCCTCACAGTGAGCCACAGGCCAGAGCGGCTATTGAGCGGGCGTTGGGTTCCTGGCATGTGGGTGACTCACATTCGCTGCACCACGAGCAACCCCTCGAAGAGCTGCGAGCAACCAGCACCAGCGCTCTTCGTCAGGCAGTCCTCGCCCAATTGCCCAAGGCTCAGGTACAAGTGCTGGACCGCTTTGAGCAGCTGTGGAACCAGATCCACTTGCGCGCGCTTCATCTCTTCAACATTGCTGCACGGCAGTACTTTGCGGCGCTCCGTCTACACTATGTTGGCACTGCCAATCAGCTGGGCCATGCCAACGAGGGCCGTCTGACCGCAACTCTGCGGCTCATCCGTCTGCTGGAACGCTACGGCCAAGACTTGTATGATGTTTTGGCCTATGGCTTTGCCCAGAGCATCGCTGAACCTTGGGTGGCAATCGTCCCGCAGCTATTTAGCCGCGTGGGCGTGCGCTCTGAAATTGTCCGCCAGACGATTGTCCAGCTCCTTATCCGCGTGGGCCAGTTTGCCCCTCACGCTTTGCTGTATCCCAGTGTGGTGGGCCTGACCTCTGCCACAGACAAGATCACCAAAAACAGCTTTCAAGCCATTCGCCTCAGCCTTCAAGAACATGACCATGCCATGGTCGCTGAACTTGAGGCCATGATCAGCGAATTGCAGCGTATAACTGTCCTCTGGGAGGAACGCTGGTTGGACTTGATGACGCACCTCCAGCCGGATCTTGCACGTCGATTGCGCCAATTGGAGGATGAGCTGGCGCGCTTGGCACAGAACGATAGTCTTCTGGCCGCACAAAAGCAACGTCTCATGATGCAAAAGCATGCTGCCATTCTGACGCCCATCATTGAAGCGATGCGCTCGCTCAAAGCCAAGACCACAGCGCGCGAGGCGGAGACGAAGCATGAACAGTGGTTCATCACGGAGTTTTCTCCGATCATTGATGCGACCATTGATGCACTAACAACCCCAGCCGTTCGAGCAGCTCGGCTCGACGATGCACAACATTTTGGCTATTCTGTGGACCGAGCCGTCGCGCCTTTCCACCGCCTACTTGAACGCCTCACCCAAGCAGTTGCCGCGCGCTCAGCCCTGACTTTACATGAAATTTCACCACGCCTTGCCCAGAGCACTGTGACCAACGTGTCCATGCCAGGCGTTGATGCTCTGCCTGTGACCGACGGGCCTCATGAAAGCACCGCCGAACCTACGCCACACCCAACATCCCGCCGATCAAGCGTCGTTCTGATCCAATCCTTTCAGCCCGAAGTCCACGTCCTGCCATCCAAAACAAAGCCCAAAAGGCTGACATTGCTTGGAACAGATGGGCACCGGTACAAGTTCCTGTTCAAAGGCATGGAAGACCTGCACTTGGATGAGCGAATGATGCAGATTCTCGACACGATTAATGCCTTGCTTGCACCCCGAGCGCGCCACGCGCGATCTCATGTTCGCGCACGCAACTACAATGTTACGCCTCTTGGTCCACGGAGTGGCTTGATTCAGTGGGTGGATCATACGGTCCCCATGTTTCAGCTGTATCGAACCTGGCAGCAAGCCGAGTACGAGGCGCAGCGCGCTGAGCATCAGGCCAAGAAGAGCAAGCGTGCGCCAAGCGCACCCCTTCGACCACAGCACCAGTTTCAAGTCGAGCTGCGTCAGGTTTTGGATCGCATGAACGTGCGCAAGGGCACGCCTCGTGAGCAGTGGCCCCTCGAAGCCCTGCGCCGCGCCTTCAAAACGCTTTCAAAGACCTCGAATCAGATTTTGTCGCGTGAATTGCATGTGATGAGCCCCTCATCGGCCGCTTGGCTCGAGGTATTGGGAAACTATACGTCCAGTCTAGCAGTCAATTCGATGATTGGCTACGTGGTTGGGCTGGGTGACCGCCACCTGGACAACATCCTTCTCGATGCGCACACGGGCGAGCTTGTTCACATTGATTACAACGTCGCCTTTGAAAAGGGAACCAAGTTGCGCGTGCCAGAGCAGGTACCCTTTCGTCTCTCCGCCAATTTTGTGGAAGCGCTCGGGATTGCTGGCCTGCATGGGCCCTTCCGCCAGCATGCGGAGTTTACGCTGCGCGAGCTCAAGCGTTCGAAGGAAGTGCTCCTTACGCTGCTTGAAGCCTTTGTGCATGACCCGCTTGTCGATTGGGCCAAAGACGCGCAGGAAATGGCCAAGCGGCGTGCGATGGAGCAAGACATGAACGAGAGCCTGCTTTCGGCTCGCATTGATGAGATGAAGTCCCCACTTCTTGCCAATCGGGGGCGTTTGACCGCGGCCTTGCCCCAAGGTGCGAAGGCGGCAGATGAGGCTCTCCGCGGTCTTCGTGAATATCTTGGTGCCATTGATGAGCTTCGTGGCTTCGAGCGAGAGCTACAGCTGTTGCGGCAGGCCAATGCCAGCACACAACAAACGCTCGAGCCGTTGGAGGCCCTGTACGAGCACGAGAAGAAGCAGCAAAGCGCTGTCAATCAGTTGCTCGAGCAGATTAAGGAGTCTCACCGCTCGTGCAATTCGTGGTATGATCAGCACCTAGTCGCTTTTCAGGCCATCAAGACGGGCCAGCTGAAGGAGGTGCTTGCAGCTTTAGAGGTGGCGCCCGGAGCGATCTCAGCCACGCCGGAGAACTTTGACCGATTTATGGGCACGATCGGCCAGAACGGTGCGCTCAATGAGCTGCAGTTTGCACGAGCTGCAGCGCGCCGGGTTATGAGCAATCGTCACGAGCACATGCTTGAAGTTGCAGGGCGCCTGCAGGGCTACATTCGAGTGGCCCTCTCCTATCCACCGGAAGTCCTGCCCCAGAATCGTGTGCACAAATGGAGACTGATTTTTGAGACAGTGCTTGCCAACCCAAGCTCGGCCACGTGCTTGGCCATGCTGCGAGAGGTGGAGCAGACCCTGCCGCGCGCTCTGACCGCCCCATTGGCGTCACGGCATGCCATCCTTACCCGGGACTGCGAAGCGGCCCGCCGCGGCTTGCGAGACGTTGAGCAGCGCCAAGGCCGCTTGAGGGATGTCACGGTGTTGCAGGCCCGAATCGATGAGCAGCGTGCTAACATTGCCGCTTTAGCCACGGCCGATGCTGGCGGCATCCCAGGACAGCAGCTCCTTGCCCTGCGCTTGGTTCTGCTCCAGGCCCTCCTGAATCGCTGCAAACCAATCCAGCAACTGGAGCACGGAGCGCAACGTATCATCAAAACACGAGATCTACTTTGCGTGCTTGAGACTACACACGAGTTGCAGCACCTAGTCGATTTGGATTTAACCGTTGTAGTACCAGAGCAAGCCGAGGTGCGACCGGAAGCCCAAGCGCTGTGTAGCACCTTGTCGGTGACAGTGAGTGCGCTCCGTCGACTTGAGTCGTCGCTCATGGACGTACCACGCCTAGTGGAAGAGCTCTATGAACATATGCAAGCAGACGCCGACGCGGTTGCCGACGCTCGCCAACTGATACAGGACTTGAGTGGTCTACACCGTCTTTTGAAAAATGCGGTGAATGCCAGTGTCTCGGACCGTGTATCCGGACCTCTACGCGCCGAGATTTGCGCTGTAACAGAGGAGCGATTTGCAAAGCTGCCTCGGTCGGCATTTGGGGCGAGTATCCAACGAGTTAGCATGCGCCTTGCAGGCGCCAGTGACGTGTTGCTTCAGCGCTGGGCTGAACTGGCTACCATCAAATCCCCGTGGGCTTGGGCGGGCATTAACCAAGTCTTTCCGGCTTTTACGGATGATCTTGCCTTTGAGACGGCCTTGAGTCGCCTTCAAGCGCTGGACGCGGCCGTGGGGGCACTCAAGGCCCTGTTGCGAGTGCATGAGCAGCAAACAAGCAAGCGCGAGTCTGCAGCGGGCGATGAGGACGAGCCAGCATCTCTTCTGGCGGCCGAAGACAAACTCCGCGACTACCACGCGGAGCTGTTTAAACAGCGTTTTCACCAAGTTCTTCCGCAAGGTATTCGCTGCTATGTTGCCGGCCGTCTCCTTGATTTGGGGGTCAATGCCATTAAGATGGGTGCTGACCACTGGGCATCTGGTAGCGAGATGCCGTCAGATGCCGAACTACTGGACAACTTTACTCGCCGGGCCATTTCACACAATGCGACGCGATCTGACCGCATGACTCAGGCACAGCGTTTGGTTGAGGGTTCGCTCGAAACTCTTGTTGAATATCGACAGATTGCCATGCTGCAGCGTGATTTAGAAAAGGCACAGGCTGCAGTCCAGGCCTCGGAGCGGCACTTGCGCCATTTCGAATGGGTGCATGCCCCGCACCTCCTTGACACATCACCCGCTCCATTTGTTTCGGAATTGCTCAAGACGGTGCGAGAGCTCCGCTCGGCCACTCAAAGGCTGGAAGCGTCCCACAAAGAATCTCGAGAAGTGCAGGCCGCATACGACGAAAAGGCACAAGCTCTGTTGCAGCGCGTGCGCTGGAGTGCAAGCTCCAGCAAGACGGCCAGCGAGCTTGCCATCGCTTTCGAGCAGCAGCTTCAAGCGGATGCCTCCCGTCTGCTGCACGACCACAAGACCTGCAGCCTGCTTATCGGCGTCACCACCGCCTCAGTACATTTTGAGACGTTCCGCATGATGGTTGATGACACGAAAGCGCTTGAACAGCGCCACAGCACCTTGTTGGAGCGCCTGCGCATGTCGTGTGAACAGCTGGAAAGGCACCGCGCCAGTGCGGCAACGCTGGAGGCTCGATTGCCTGAAGGATTGAAGGAACATGCACCGGATGGCTACTTGTCACGTGCATGGCTTGCTGAGCGGCAGCTTCAGGTGCCAAAGTTGGTTGGTCAAACTCGCCAGCAGGAGAGCCAATTGCGCAAGACGCTACCAGGGCTAGGAGAGCAGGTTGAGGAAGCCAATGACCTGATTCGCAATGCCGTTCTGGAGTTCAAATTTCTCGTGGAGGAGCTGGACCCTCTGCTGGAGGCGAGCATGGCAAACCGCCAAGAAGTACGCGTGTTGCGTAATGCATTTGCAGATTGGTTTCAGCGTGCCGACGATGCTGTGGACTTGCTTGGCAACCTTGTCGAGGTGCTACAGGCCGCCGAGCCTAGTGAGCTTCTTGAATCGTGGACACAAAGCACCCTTCCGTCGGACACAGCCGACAAAGATGGTTCTACCAGGGTGCAAAAGGACCTTGTGCGTCTCATCGCCAACGACCAGACGCCAGACTTCCGCGACTTGGCAAATGCCGTGGGCCGCTCCCATGATGCTTTGGTCTCGCTGCACAGCGCTGCGGGCGATGCGCTTGTGGAGGAGACAAGTGGCGTTGTTGATACTGAGAACGAAACTGCAAAGATGACCTCTGAGATGGCCAATAATGCGCCGCAACGGAGCAAGTATGCTCTAGCCATTTGGTCGCGAGTCCGTCAAAAGTTGTTGGGGCGAGTCGGCAAGGACGATGGGGCTCTCTCGACTTCGGACCAGGTGCGTTGCTTCTTGCTTTTGGGTGATTGTGTGTATTTCTGTGCTTGCGTCGAGAAATGTTTTTTTTTTTTTGTTTTGTTTTGTTTTGTTTTGTTTTTGTTTTGTTTTTTGTTTTTGTTTTTTTTGTTTTTTTTTTTTTTTTCAAAATTACGGGCATGGACCGGGCCTTCTCACATGAATTTCCCATCTATTGTGTTGTTTTAGGTGGATGCTGTCATTCGCGAGGCAATCTCGATTGACAATCTGTGCCGTATGTTCGAGGGCTGGACGCCCTGGGTGTGAGTATCCATCAGGATGCTCATTTTACTCTAGTTTAGACGCTTGAATCGTTTCTTTGTAGGACCAACCGGGGGCTGCGTCGCGGTCGGATGTTTGGGGTGACCTCTTGACCTGTAGCGCGTGGCTCGGGGCAAATTTTCATTTTCCGGCGGGTTCGTGGGAGTGGGACAATGTCATGTTCTAGCTCGGTGCTCGTCCCAAAGTGGGATGCCTTTACAGCCGGTTGGGGCGCCGCTCCGTTTGGTCCGCTGCATGCGGCATGTTTTGGGCTGCTTCGGCGGCGTCTGAACTTGAATTTAGGGAGGATGCTGGTTCAGAGTGTGCTCGCTTACCGCGGCGCTTCTTGAGAAAATCGGGGGCTAGCAACGGCGATGAGGCGTGTGCCAAGACTTGCGTTTGTGCCACTGCGGCGCGTCCCAAAAACTCACGGCGAAGCATTCGCTCGTCATAGTTTGGAGGAAGCACCATTACCTTATGCTTTGGAGTGGATAGGCCAAACCTGCCATGGCAATGCCAGAACGCGCTTGTTAAGGTGTTGTTAATGTCAATAGATCAGATGAGACCGACTATCAGGGGCTGTGGCTAATTTGAAATTTTACAATCGAGCAAGAAACGTGTTGGAAACACTTGGGAGTTGGAAGGGTTGGGTTCTGGTATGCGTACCAGATGGTTCGCCGTTGGGCGTCAAGTGCTTTGGCCAACTTGCCATAGCACTGTAACCAATTGACAAATGCGGCATTGCGCTGCTCATCACCCAAGGCAAAGCCGTATTCGTTGAGAATCTCTGAGGATTCGGTTAAAACTGCGCGCATGATGGCCAGCAAGCCTTGCGTGGGACTGCAGGCGACAGCTTTGGCCAGCACCTCCGCTGCCTGCGCAAAAGGGTGGATGTTGGCCCTTTGAGACACCGGGACCAAAGATGAGGTGGGGTGCAGGGAGATTGGATTGTGAGCCACCAATCAAATGCTTGACGCAGCCACTTTGACCAGCCACGAAGCGCCGCATACCGGTGCAAAATTTCTGCGCGCAAGTAATTTCCAATGCCGTTGAAATATCGCTGGTCCATCATGATGCTACAGATGGCTTGCTGGGGGAGGCCCCATGAGATAAAACCACTGGAGAGAGGTGTTGCTGCGAGTTTGATCATGATGATGTGTTTGCTTGACGTACTGTTTGCAATATCTTATCGGACAGGTGTGCTTTTATGTGAGTTGCAAACTCACCAATGCCAGTTTGAATGACACATGGTCCTCGTTCAGAAGACCAGGCGTGCCCTATTCTCCATCCACCAAACCTACGGAAAAGAAGAAACCGCTCAGTTATTGGCTGCCATCGACCTGGATTTTATGACGGTGTCTTGCAATTTGCCGAGGTGCGTAGGCGCCCACACAGACCGACGTGGATCTTCGTAGCAGAGCACGCCTTTGGCGGCGTGAAAACGCAAATGAGCATGCGGGTGTTGATCCAAATCGGCTGCAGCCAGCCAGTAAAAGTTGCCCGACTGGCATTGTTTTGACATGTGGACAGAAAGCATGGATGAGGTGAGCGGTCAGGTGAACAAACTTCAGCGGGTCAAGGCGGGTCCAAAATGGGAAACGCACCATCCCCATGGTCATCACCAAGCTCGCTGCAGGCCTGATAAACCCCAGCAACGAAAGAGGCGTCACCGTCATGATGAGAACAACAAGAAGAAGCCAAAAGAGCACTTCAACTTACTTGACACGGGACTTGGACCGAGCATTAAGCACCTCGATGCGCAATTCTTTGCCGTGGCTTTCAGCACGCAGAGTGAAATGCTTGGGCAATTTAGGCAGGGCTTGGCAGCAAAATCGTCGAGCAAAGACAAAGAAAGCAAACAGGTTTCTGGGTTAATTTTGGCGTGGCATGCACCAAGCCTTGTCGCACGTCGAGCCCTGCGCACCTGGATGCTTGCGGGGGTTTGTAGCGAGCCTGCTGGTGCTGACTCGTTGGAAAGGGGCATGCTGCTCAGCCACACGGTTGATGAAGGAGGCCATGTAATGGAGCTCTGGCCCCTCGGGCATGGCGACAGTTGCAGATTTGTGGCCAAACCCAAATCCCTTACTCGAACACTTTGACAAAGACGACAGTCAGCCTTCTGCTCTGCTCTGAGGTCCTTGCTCTTGCTGCCGGACGCGCCCGCATGTGTGCGACGACGACGACGACGACGACGACGACGACGGAGAGATCGGCTTGGAGCCCTTCGCTTTCGAGAAGAGAGGGGGAAGCCGAACAGAGAGGT